GCAAGTGTTTTTTAAATAATGAGGTATAATTTGTAATTTCCAAGAACAGGAACTCTGAAGCCAGTCTTCCTGGATTCAAATTCAGGCTCTGCCACTGACTAGTTGTGTAACTTTGAGAAAGCTATTTAAACAGTTCTGTATGTCAATTGCCTCACCTGTCAACATGGGAATAATGGGTATAGCAGAATGAGAAGAGAGGGAAAAGGGAACAGGGAGCATATTCAAACAAATAGTCAACAAGAATTTCCAAAATCTATGGAAAGTGCTGGATCTTTTAATCCAAGAAGCAAACAGAATACCCAATTATCTCAATTCAAGAGGCCTTCTCCAAGACATATTATATTAAAGTTGTCAAAAATTAATGACAAAGAAAAAATTATCAAGGCAGCCACGGAAAAGATGACAGTTACTTATAAAGGAAAACCCATTAGATTATCATCGGACTTCTCAGTGCAAACCTTACAAGCAATGAAGAAGTGGAAACAAATATTCGAACTATTAAAAAAAGTTACCATCTAAGAATAATATATCCAGAAAAGCTCTCCTTTAAATATGAAGAAGAAATAAAGACTTTCTAGACATACAAAAGCTGTCTAGGGAATTCTCCAACACAAGACCTGAATTACATACTGAAGGGGTCTTTCTACCTAAAACAAAAGGAAAAAATAATCCATAACTATGAGTAAGATGACTAATGGGCAGATAGACAGAAGCAGGAAAGTGAAACCCTTATCAAAAACAGGGTATTATAAGCTTAAATATCACATAATGGTTAAATGATAAAATACACTCTTAAAAGAAAAGATAACATTTACCGTAACTCAGAAACAAATGTTTAGCATATATAGTGATAATTTGAGATGACAAAAACAGAAAAGAGGAGGGAGTAAATATCCAAATTCGCAAAGACAAATGGAGATAAGGTGCACACAGAAGAAAATGTACAATTGTATATATATAACTATCTTTACATAAACTTAATGTTAACCACACTCCATATATCCAGAAGTGGGATACATGGCATAAAACATGAGCGAACAAAAGGAAAATCAATGAAACACCACCAAATTAAAATAACAGTCAGAAACATAAGGACAACAAAACAATGCTGAAAGCAAGCTACCAGGAAAAAAAGATAAAATGGCTAAAGAAAATCCTCATAGTTCAATAATCACCCTAAATTTAAATGGACTTAACTCACCAATAAAAAGGCACAGAGTAACAAATTGGTTCAAAAAAAAAAAAAAAACCCACAACCATATGCTGCCTTCAAGAGACACATCTCAGCTGTAAGGACAAAAATAGAATCAAAGTGAAAGGGTAGAAAATGATACTCCAAGCAAATGGCATCCAGAGAAAGCGGGTGTAGCTTTACTTATATCCGATGGAATAGACTTCAAAATAAAAAAAGATAAAAAGAGACAATAATGAACACTTCATAATGATAAAGAGAGCCATACATCAAGAATATCTAACACTTACTAATATCTATTGCTCCCAATCAGGAAGCACCAAAACATATAAAGCATGTACTAACAGACCTAAAAGGG